TACATGATATCACTCATATATATATATGATTTTGATTAGATTCCAGAAGCTCTGAGAGCATAGGTACTGTTCATAAATCACTATTTTGTCTTAACTCCCTGCCTCCCTATGACAATGAAAATGACTGAATGTTTGTGTTGATTTGCATAGCTTTAATTACTAAAGAGGTTCACCATCTGTTCATACATATATCAGTCATGTGCCTTTTATTCTGGATTGTCTGTTTTGAACTGTTAGATAAACTTTTGATCGTGTAGTACCAATTTCTAACAACTCTGGATGTATAATAAATATAACTAAATGTTTGCAAAATGTCTGCAAATATTTTTCCAAGGTCACTTGTCATTGTTTTGCTGCAACTTTATATAATACTTTTCTTTTTACCACTTTTCAAAGAATGTAGAACATACTGAGGTGTCTGGTATGGAAAACAGAAATGCTTTTACTTTTCCAAGATTTTTTAAATTTCAAAATGAACAGCTGTGATATTAATTGTTGAATACCGACTTTGTCTACTGACTTAAAATCCTAAGTTTTTATTTAGTCAATTCTCAAATATATTAATAACCATTTCTGGATTTCTACCCTGCATTATTGATTGGCCTCCTCTGTTTTCTCAAGTGTTTCTCAGACTGTGGATACTGCTGTCTACCTGCCCAAGGAGACAGCTGGACCACAAGTCATGTCTTCCACAGATGTCAAGCATCACCTGCATTGAGCTACCTGGTGCCAGGAGCAGCCATGTGACTCAAGGGAGGGAGGACAGAGTTGAGACTGATGGGAAACAAGGCACATTCAAGTAACATCATCTACTGACTTGGGCAATCTGAATACTTTATAATACTAGATTACTTAATATTGAAACATTTTGGATCTTTGGAAAAAGCCTATTTCAAGGAGTTTCTCCTGGAAACAAAATTTGGGGTGTAAATCTGCATGCAGAAAATTTAATGAAGAGTCACTTTGAATTTGTACCCCTAGGAAGATGGAGGAAACAGGATTGGGCAGGGTAAGAATTCCCACCCAGGGACTCAGCAGCTCTGGAGTTGGGCTGGCCCTGCAGAGTCATCTGAAACTGGTGTCGGGTGGCCAGATATTTATGACCTCATAATGAGCAGTAATTGGATAAGAGCCACCCCAAGAAAAGATATAACTTTGAAAGTGTTTCAGGTGATTGCAATCACTCTAGTTAGAAGTTTGTCTATTTTATTGAAAGTCAGCACAGCAACTTTTTAGGTTGATCTTCTATATTATTGTTCCACTTTTCTATTTTTATTACCTATGTTATTATCTTTGTTAATATTCATGTTATTTACTCCCACTCACTTGGATTTGATTTGCCCTTTTTCTAGCTTCTTAAAGTAGACATTAATGTCATTAATTTTCAGACCTTTCTTCTTTTCCAATATAAGCTTTTCCATCTATAAAATCCCCACTACAGACTCTATTAATTGTATCAAATAAATTTTGATGTTTTATTGACCAAAATTTTTTTCTAAATTACTTATTTAACTGAATGTTTAATATTTAAGTACTTGGATAATTTCCAGGTTTGTTTCTGTAATTGATTTATATTTTTAATTGTGTTATGATCAAAGAATATACTTCTGATTTTGATATTTTAAATGTACTAAGACTTGTTTTAAATCCCAATATAACGTGTCTCTTCATTCTGTTCTATAAATGTCAAGTAAATCAAATTGGTTGATCATTTAATTTTTTATGTCCTTACAGATTTCCCATCTTCTGGTTTGGTTTTATCAATTGTTTAAAAATGAATGTTGACATATCCAGTTGCACTTGGGGATTTGTCTGTTTCTCCTTTGAGTTCTTATTAGTTGGTTTCATGTATTCTCAAGATCTGCTGTGAAGTGCATAGCTTAAATATTTATTATGACATCTTATTTAATTGGTATATGATGCCCTTTCTCCCTGAAATATTTCATATTTTGTGTTCTCATTTGCCTGACATTAATATAGTTATTACAATTTTGTGACTTATATTTTATCATTCTTTTTGGGGGGTGGGGAGGTTCCAGTATTGGGAATCGAACTCACGATCTTGCACTTGCCAGGCTGGCACTGTGCCGCTGAGCTAAATCCCCAGCCTCTCATTCTTTTATTTTTAATTTATTGAATCTATCAATACATTTATATTCAATCGTGTTATTTACATTTAAATGGGGTAGCATACATGAATCTAGAATTTTATCTATTCTGATAACATCTGCCATTGAATTAGCTATTTAGATCATTTACATTTACTGTAGTTTTCAGTGTGGTTGGGTTTTAATCTACTGCTTTGCTATTTTATTCATTGGTTTCATTTACTTTGATTTTTTTGCTTTCTATTGGAATGAGGATTTTTTAGTATTTCATTTGTACGTCCATTGTTGGATTATTAGTGTCTGTTTCATTTTTCACTTGCTGCTCTGAGATTTACAATATGAATCATTAGTTTATCACGTTTCCATC